ATTTGTCACGACAGTCTAAAACTTCTCTACTTAAAGATATATGATACAATTAAAAGGCAAACAAATTAGGAAAAACAAGCGTGCAGCACCTGTAGCAGGGAATTATGATCTTTGCTTTGTAAAGAGTTCTTACGCATCAAATAAGAATTCCAACAGCCCAGCAAATTGACAAAGCACACCGAGAGAAACACAAGTGTCTCATAAACAGGACAGTTGACTCAGGTGGGTGGATCATCAGAAAGCCATTTTCCTGTTCTGGAGGTCAGGGGTCCAAGGTCAGGGTGTCGGGAAGTTTGGTTCCTGCTGAGGCTGTGAGGGAGGGATCTGTCCCAGGTCTCTCTCCTGTGGATGCTGTCTTTAGGTCACGTGGCATTCTGGTATACTCGTAGGTCTGTCTCCAAACGTCCATTTTATGAGGACCCCAATGGCGTTGGACTAGGGCCCACCCTAAGGACCTCATTTTGACTCAGTTACTTCCATAAAGACACTATCTTTGGTTGGGCGCGGTGGCTCACGCCTGTAATCCTAGCTCTCTGGGAGGCCGAGGTGGGCGGATCGATCAAGGTCAGGAGTTCGAGACCAGCCTGAGCAAGAGTGATTCACACGCCGTGAACCTGGCCCTCACACCCCGACACACACAATGTGACCTCAGAGGCCCGCGCGCGAGGGCTGTGATCGCGACACGGATCCCTGTTCAGCCCCTATTCTCCCAGACCGTGCCTCGGTCCCCCGTTCCCAGCTGTGACCTCGGGTCCCCTCCCCAAGGCCTGTGACCTAGGTCCTCGTCCAGGCCCGTCTTCGGGGCCCTCCCCTGGCTCACGGGGCGCCCTCCTTCCCCCTGCCAGCCGCTCCGGTGTTGGGCTTGCAGCGCAGACATGTTCTTGGAAGAGAAATAATCACCCATCCTCATGGACGGTATGGGGGACCCGCTTCCTTTACTTTTCGCTCTGGTGACGGGTCAGTGTAGTTTCTCTCATCGGTAGGCTTTGGAAGCCGGCGTAAGGAGGCGCGCCATTAGACATTGCCGGGCGATCCGTGTTTTCATCCTCTCGCTACTCTTCAGTTGCCCGGCCGGGCTCGTCAAGACCTTGCCTGGCGGGAGAGAGGAATGGTCTTCAAGGTCTTATATTTGTTTCTATCCGACTTTGCGACAGATGCCCATACCTACACATACAGCCTCCCACACCCAGCGGCACAGCGGGCGTGCTGGGTAACTAGAGAAGGTCCTGCTAGCGCACAGCCATGTGCGCGGCATGCCAGGCCTCCGCTCGGGTGGGGGGGCCTTTTGTATGAGCGGGAGCAGCCTGTGGGTGGCTGCAGGATGCAAGCAGCCGGGCTGGGCCCCCAGAATCCCACCTTCTGCGATTTGCCTTCCCGGCACAGCATGCGTAAGTATAACAAGTGCCACCTCCAGGGCTTATCTCGCGTGCAGCTGCAACCAGAGTGGGCCGCCCCCCGAACCTCCCCCCCCGTCCCCTGGCGGTCAGCCCTGTTCCCCACATCCTGCATGCCCAAAGCCCACAATATCCCACATCTGAAGAGCCTGCCAACACCATACCCAATTCATCTTACAACTAAACCAAAAAGATCAGTATCCATTCTACATAGCAACGACTTGGGTCGCCTATACAACTCAAGCCTGGAAACGAGGCAGCACCATTCCAACAGAAACCAGAGATACACACAGGAAAGAAACAAAGAATGCATACCATAAATTCTCATTCAGACAAATTCCACACACAACATGCCCTTGCCAGACAAATTTTAAGTCTCTCAAAACTTGTGGGCGAGAGTCCCCCGGCTTCGGCCACTCAACGCCCAGGAGTGGAGAGCGGCACGAGACGACAGCCGCCAGAAATTTCCACTTCCAGCTGGGGAGAACAATCAACACACACGCGCACGGCCTGCACAGGTGGCGCAAACTGCTCTGCAAACGGCCAGAAGTGACCGCAACGGCATCTGCCTTGGGACACAGCTCAGACAACAAATGGTGAAGCTGATACAGGAACACGAATCCTTGGAATTTCATATCATTTCACGTGCCAAAAGAAACAAATCTCTTTGGACTTTCCACCTTTTAAAAAGCAAAACACCCTTAGTTCTGGGCCTGTGCAGCAGCAGGCAAAGGCTGGATTGGATCCACTGAGCCCATGCAATACAGCAGCCCTGCGAGTAGACCCCAACTGCAGCCGATACTCCACCCCCTACCTTGCGATCACTCCTGCCACCCCTCCAGGAAGCTCCAGCACCCTCGGTCTAAAGGCTTCATCTCACATTAGGTACAATGAACCAAGTTGTGAACTTTTAAAAATCCATGGTAACCTATACATCAAACTACGTTTGTCTTTCCACACTAAAACTCCTGGTTAAGAGCTTTTACTCCTTATCTCATAATTTTAACACGTACAGAAAAGAGTGTTAGAATTCAGGATTACAAGCGCCAGTTCACGAGATCGAAAAAGTCTGCTCTGTGTCCAGACCAGCCATCGCGGCCTGATACAGAATATAACAATGACCACATATACAATATTTTTTTTTTTTCTAAAAATTCCTGGTAGCAGCTGGCCGGTGGCTCACACCTGTAATCCCCAGCA